CTCTGGTTAAAACCAAACAGTTGTAGATGACGCCGTTTGCTTCTCATGAGTGTGACTCTAAATCTGTTGCTATGGTAACATTGTACATCCCCCCCCCAGTTTCTCTTCGTCTTTCTTCTGTATGGATCGAGAGAATTTTCTCTTGATTGGCCTAATCTGATCTGAAGCGGTTTGAATATTTTAAAAGGAAAGAGTCTTGTTTTTAGTGACGCTTCAGCCTCTTATGTTTAAAATTCATGCATGCATGAGACGGATGACTGAATGAGCCCAAATATCACCGTCAGCCTGAAAACAGAGAAGCTGGCAGATGATGTATTGCAGGACTGTTTGGCTGTAAACTGACAAACTGTAAACTGTTTGTATTTGACTACTAAACTAGAGGCAGATTTATGATCCAAAGACGGCAGTGTACAGCGTATTAACTGTGTCTACGTTTCTCCCACACATACACACAGAGACACACAAACACACACACATACTAACATCTTCTTAACCAGACTGAAAGAAGATGAGCTCAGGCTGCACGGCTATAACTGTGACGGAGTGATTTAAAGTCACATTACCACACACACCAGCTTTCCCAGTTCTCTTATCTCCTTTGCTTTCCCAGTGAAGTGTATCCACGGCGTGTTAGTCAGAAGCCCCAACAGCCACCTATGGCGCCTATATTCCTCACTGACTGCTACTAATTATCAGGAAGGGATATAGGGTGAACATGATTGGATTTGACAGTTAATGAGCTTTCTTAAATGATCTTATTGGTACTCACTTAGAGAAGGGACAATGGTGTAAATACACAGTTTGTATAGAGTGTGTATACCCATAAAACAGAGCAACTATAGCTACATTAGTGAGCCTTTTTGTACCGATTCACTCCCCATGATGTCACACATAATAACTGGGGCTGCAGCTAATAGGAATTGATTGGTGAATTTATAATTTGACTTTAAAATATCAAGTGAACCACATGAAGTTTTATCAAAGTAACAGTCCAAGATACAAACATATTCATTCTAACACATATAGACAATAAGAGACAGAAATGTGCGCCAGATAAAGCAATGAGCAAACTGTAATGTTTTTGGTTCATCGGCTAATTATCCACGAGGGCTGATTTTTTTTCTGTGTTTTGACTGTTTCAGTTTTAATACTGTTTCGTGTCTTACCTCATCACATTACCATTTCCTCTTAAAATTGTAGTTTTAGTAAAAAAGGAACCACAGATATACCTGTTCAAACACACATTAGGGCAGATAAATAATCAGCCAATCACATGGCTTTGTTGATGCCAGGGGTTAAAGGAGAATTGCCGAAATGCTTTGAGCTGATAAAAAGACAGCTCTTACTCAAATAACCAGTTGTTACAGCTAAGGCATGCAGAAGTGCATCTCTGAACACAAAACATGCAGTAAAGTAAGTGGGCCGCAGCAGCAGAAGACCACACCCACCTCTAATAATGGGAATCTGAAACCGCTATTACACATGCGCAACAAAATTGGACAATAGAAGATTAGAAAAATGTTGCTTGATCTGATGAGTTGCAATTTGTGCTGCAACATTTAGATGAAACGGTCAGAATCTGCTGTAAAACCATCCTAGCTGGAATCAACGGCTCAGGTTGCTCTGGTGGTATAATGAACAGTGTTTAAACAATACATCAAAAATTTAAGGCCAACACATCTGCAGCATCTGAGTAGTATCATGTCACTATGGCCCGAAATGTCCGAGGAATGTTTCCAGCACTTTCTTGAGTCTGGATCACAACAAATTATCAGTAGGGGTGCAACGATACTCGTATCGATATTGAACTGTTCGATACGGTGCTTTCGGTTCGGTATGCATATGTATCGAACAATACAAAAATTTTTATTTATTTTATCAACTTTTCTTCTGACGATGCTGTCTGTGTTGAGAGCTCAGTGGATCTGCGTTCGACTACTCCGCCTAGGCTGCACTGTCGAGCGCAGATCCACTGAGCGCAGCGCAAGCTAGCAAGACCGAAGCTAAGCTCGTTGCAACATGGCAAATTTAACAAATTAAAAAAGCGTGAACATTTTTTTGTATCGAAAAAATATCGAACCGTGACACCAAAGTATCGAACCGAACCAAACCGTGAATTTTGTGTATCGTCGCACCCCTAATTATCAGAGTCGCTGCTAAAACTGATAAAGTGGCCAGAGAGGCAATATAGTAGACATCCAACAAACAGAAACAGGCGTTTTGTTAAGAGAACATAAACACGTAAGCTGAGGAAAAATTTACAAATGCTGCTATACAGCTGTTGATGATCAATATATGGTGACCTCTGTGACCTCGACCTCAGGGTCGAGGTTAGAGGTCAAGTTTTCTGAAAATCTTGTGAACAAAATAAATCAAAGATTTCCCCTTTCCAATTTTCACATTTATGCCATAGATTCATCTAGCAGGAGGCTGTGTGGCAGCGCTGGTGACTGCCAGTATTTTCATTCATATGTTGTTTAAACTTAAAATACAAGCACAGGAAAGCTGGAAATTGTGTGTGCACACATAATTATACAAAACAAACAATATTTTTATGAACTGTAAACAAAAAATGAAAATATATTATGCAATGTTATATATATATTAGAACAATGCAATGTAATATACAATATTGCAATGCTATTTAATTTGTGTTATTTCATTTTTTGTATAGTCTTTACTGTTATGTACTCAAATTCCTAATTATGCTGCATCAAGTTTGATGCTAGAAAGCGGTTCTTTATGCCGAGGAGCACTAAAGCACTTTATGAGGCCTTCTTTTGATGTGTGACTGATTTGGCCTCTGTATGTAAGTCTGTCTAACAACAGTAACCCAAACAAACCAGGTTGCAGTAGGTTGCAAGGCACTGAGCTAGGTCGATGGTTTCAGTTTTGTAAAAGCTTTTGTAAATGTGTGCTCATGCTGGTTTTGTTAAAAACAGGACTTCTTGGTAAATGTTAGAAAGGTACACTGAAAGAGATCTAAAAAAAAAACAGTGGAATATACAACCACCACGGTAGGATGGTTTTACGACCCGCCCCCCCTTTCCCCCACTGTGTCTGTCATATGTGCTCCACTTAGTTTTAACAGAATTGAAGTAGCAGGGCTCTTACGGTGACCTTTACTGGTGTGACTGGCAGTTGGAGTATAGAATAAAGAGCAGAGCTCCTATTTAACCTTTGCTACAGTACAAATGCTTAGGGCAAGATACCCTTTTGAAGCATTTCATTTAAGATAATGTTGTAATGCAAAGAGGCTCTCAACTCCACAGGAAGATTAGATGGCTTTGCCTTTGTAGGGTTTTCATTCTGCTTTTAATAGTTTAGTCAACCTTGTATTGCCTTAAAGGGGAGTTAGGGGAGAGAATGACTTTTCCTGACGTCACACATTTCAATTATTCATCATTTAGAGAGTTAATTTGGGAGAAGGAGAAAGCAATATGGATCTGGGCATGAATGGAGATATCAGAATATGGTGACACCATTTGTTGTGACTGGGGTTAATAGAGAATAGGAGGAAAGTCGCAAAAAGGAGGCAGGTAGAATTAATGCTCCTTCCCAGTATTATGTGGTTTGCAACATTAGGTACTAGACCTGAAAGTGAATCACTCCCATTTAACGAGTCACTGATAGAGTGTTTCTCCTGTAGATACGATGAATCATGAATCAAAAGCTGAGAACGTGTTCTGAAGTGAAGCTTGAGTGGTGTACGCTCGAGCGATTCAGCTTTTTGAGAAAGAGCAGCAGTGAGAATGTGGATTTTTCATGCCTCTAGGAAAAAAGAGGAAGGGAAATGAAAGTGAGTTTCAAACAGGTTCAAGGAAATGTGCACTCGAGTCTTCTGTGCCTTTTTTTTTTTATTCCTTCCTGCTACCCTTCCCCCTTCCTCTGTTCTTGTTTTAAGAGAGTTGAAGCAAAGTATGGTGTTAAGCCACTTCTAGCCCTCTGTCCAAAGCTAATGCATTCCCCTTAAATATTTCAATGTGCTTGTCTTCTGTTCTGCAACACTGAGTACAAGCTCTCCCTCAGCTGGCACCCACAGAGGCGCACTGCCACCAATGAAATCCTGCCAGTTAGACTTCTCAGACTGCTAGAAACAAGCGCTGAAGATTTGCATTTAAAAAAAGGATAGAGATGAGGGAGGTAGGGAGGAACTCTAAGACTGGGATGTAGATTATAGATACAGGGTTTGTGTGTTGTGTGACCATGTTTGGGTTTTTTTTTTTTTCTTTACTCCTGGGTGTAAATGCTGTGATTGTTTTTTACTCTCTGCACAGATGTAGAGCAGCATGCTAGCTGATGCAATAAGAAGCAAACTTGTGTTGTTTGTCAGATTCGGTGCTGCTTTCTAAAATGTGCTCTGACGGGCACTAATGTGACTCACACACAGAGACATTAAGGCCCTGCGAGCAATCCTTACAGGAAAAGACCACCTGAAAATTCCTCTTCCCTCTTTATGAGCTGTTACATAAAACAATGACCCTTGTGCACTCTCCGTCAAACTGCACAGCGGCACCTCTAGTGGCGGCAGCATGTGTAGTCTTTATGGTTCAATAACTTCGTTCCTTCATTATGGTCTATACCTGCCCTCCCTGTTCCTTCTTTTCCTCCCTGTCTTCGCTCCTGCCCTCCATCAATCTAGCCTTTATATTTCACAGCGGCAGCCATCATGCAGCTGGACCTTGAGGAAATTAAAATCTGTCTTGCTTTGTCGCACTCCCCTGTGGACCTGCAGATGTCAATAAAATCCTCTATTATGTTCTGGCACATGCACACACAGAATGACATACTGTACTCAAGATAAACAGCATGCACACTTGTGCACACAAATATTTAACTGCAGGCTATAGAGTTATTTGGGCTGTCATGTAAGCGCACGGCCAAGCTCGGCGAGTGTATTCATTAACCTGGGGCTCCCTGAGTCGTTTGGGCTGTCAGCTGTTAATTGATCTAATGAAGACAAATACTGAGGTGCTCTTTGTTCTTGTTTATGTTTGTAGTTGCAGAACCAGTAACCGGAAAAGCCTCATCCTGACCAGTACCTCCCCCACCCTGCCACGACCGCACTCACCACTGCCCGGACACATAGGTCAGTATGCCCGATGTATATGTTTTACCACATTCCCAGTTTGATTCCAGCTGCCTTTCCTGAACATCTTATCAGTCTGTCCTGCCGCTTGTTTCTTAGCATCTCAATTATCTGCTATGAAAGCCAAAATAAATTGTCAAAAATGGGCATTGTTGAAAATTTGAAATAAAAAGAAAAAAAGAAAAATTATATGAGGTGCAAAGTTTGAAAATAAAACAAAATTTACATTCACTGTTTTTACACCAGCCAAAGGATTGTCATTATATTTTTTCTGTTGACTCTTTCTGCATTTGCATGCAGTCTGCAGTCTGCAGCTTGCTTGCATTGGCTGTGTATCCTGTCAGGTTGATCAGTAGAAAGCTGTAAAATATCCCCATGGCTGTCTCATTGCATCTGCATGCAGGAGCAGAAAAACGTCCAAGAACCCGCTCATGCAAACATGGATCCATATGTTTATAAGCAGAGGGATTAGAAATGAAATGCACATTTCCTAAAGCTTTTGACACAGTTATTCTGAATATTCTAGGAAGTGAACAAAACCAACTGACTTTTAATGTAAAACAACCACAAACAGAATGTATTTTAGTTTATTATCCTGCCCGGTAACCCAGAGCGTCTGTTTTTTTTTTTTAACTGTTTTTTCTCCATATGTATCTTATTAGGAAGCAGTCCGTTGGACAGCCCGCGCAACTTCTCACCAAGCGGACCTGCCCACTTCTCCTTTGCCTCTTCTCGAAGGTTGGCATCACTTCTTTTGTGCAAAATATTGGAGCTTGACTGCTGTTAGGATTATTCTGAGACACATGCACACAAACACACAGTGAAATCCTTCAGGGAACACACCCACTCAGTCGCGCACACACACGTGTAAAATGGAGTTGCAGCTTTGTCCTGGGTCTGTGTGACTGAGGCGTGACAACAGGCCGACATGAATCAGGCGAAGTGCCTGGACTTTGCCCAAACGAGTCCCCCCTCATCACTCACTCAGGGGAAGTGTCAGACTCCGGGACAGCCGGAGGAGGCCTCAGGGAAGAGAGGGATGAAAGGAGTGAAAGTGTAATTGGATAGATTGAAAGGCAGTGAAGGTGGCAGAATTGCTCCGGTATAACAGCCAATTGTCCTGTTTGGAGGAACAAAAATAGAAACTGACATTTCGAATTTTGGCTGTTAAAAGTTGTAGAGAAAAACAGTTTTTGGTTCCCTTTGTGTCTAACATATGCTTTCCTGTTTTTCACTTTTGTTTTTCATTTCTTTTCTCAGGGCCGATGGTCGCAGATGGTCTTTGGCTTCTTTGCCTTCCTCAGGATATGGCACCAACACACCCAGCTCAACGGTAGGTTTCAGCAGAAGATCGAACTCTTTGATTATCATTCCTGCAGTTTAATGTGATCATTGCTGGAACTTTTTTGTCTGGTTAATGTATTTAATGCATTTCCTTTGTCGTAAAACATATGCAAGGCTGATTTCATCATATTTTCATTGTTTATTCTTTACATCCCGTCTGTTTTTCCTGACCTTGTTGGTGCGTTGCTACATTCCTTGCTACCTGAAAGGCAAATACAGATTAATGGAACAAAAAAAGGATATAGCATTTGTCCCATTTCATTTATGCTTAATCCGATTTGTCAGAGTTGATCTTCAAAAACATCAGTGTTACTGACTCATTGTTGTAAAGCTTTTGTTGCTAGAAGGCTGACTCGCTAATTTACACTTTCCGTAAGGTGGAAATGAAATTGTTCCTACTTGCCGCAGCTTTTCAAATCTTATTCTGGCTGTGGGTAAAGATAAGGAGACTTATCGCATTTCAAAATTCTTCCATGCGTCTCATCCGTCGAGCCCAAGGTTGTTCATTCCGGCACCACTAAATCAGAGGGTGTTTTCTTTGGTGGAAAATAACCTACAGGCCTTGAGGGCTCAAGTCAGAATCACCACTATTAGCTATCAGAGGGCGATAAATGTCTAGTCATCATTTGATTGACATATTTCTACTTGATTATTGCCTGCATGAAGATATTTACAATCACTGAGCACATGGGCATTCAGCCTGGACAGATGATCCATACTATATATAGACAAATCGATCGAGAGGTCGCTCCTGTTAATGATGCTGGGCAGGTGTCTTGCATTGCCATCTCAGCCACCATTTCTGTAAATGTGTATTTAAATGAGTGAATGAGAGGCAAATTGTAAAGAAATGTGCTGTGCAAAGGTTGAAAATCACTATGTAAGAGCAGTTTATTTGTCCTTCATTATCAACAAAGGCTTCCACCACCATATGTGGCAGCTGGAGCTCAGATGATACAGCGAGTGGGCCATTAGTTGCTGAGTAGTTGGTTAGTCCTTGAGTATTTAAGTACTTGAATGCTTAAGGACACTTATTCCTATACAAATATTAAAGAAGGAGAATAAATGAAAGCAGGTGTATGAGAGGTTACCAGCATAATTGACCATACAACAGATGTGGCTTCCTTGGCGACAACTTTCCTCCATCTGTTGTGTATCATTAACTGCACAGCCACTGCTGCTGACTAAATGTGTCCTTGTCAGACAAAACATGTCTATCAAACTATGCTGCACAGTGTAGGTGCAATGAGCTTCATATAAACCTTCTGAAGTAAATTGTTGAGCCTCTGTGATCATCGTATTTTTTAGTAGACATTCCCCCCGCGCTCCCTTTCGAAAGTGCAAAACAGAGAAGTGTGACCAGATACTACGTACGTTCATTTATAGTTTTAGCAGAGAATCATGAAAAATGACAACAAGAAAATGTGAAATGTGTATTTTGTTTTGTTTTTTTTCCTTTGGCTAATTTGCTGCCTAAGTCATGAAACTGCACCAGAACTTTACTTTCGATTTTTCTTCCATTGCTAAATAGATGAGGTGCATTTTATAGCCTGTGCATGAATATGGATTTCACTCAAAGAATTCATTTGCATATATTTACATGCACAAAATCAGCTCTGGCGCTGCTGAATTCATATTCTAAAGTTGCATGTGCTACGTTTGTTCCGTTTGGCTTTGAAACAATTACAGGCCACAGTCGCGGCTAAATGCCATGCATACACAAACACGCACAACTCCGCAGTCTTTGACTTTGTAATTCCTCTTGTCAGTCCCAGATGACTGTTAAGAAGCTTTTCAGTGGCAAGAACATGCATCATGTGTAAACCAGAACTAAAAATAAGTAATCAGTTGCTAAGATATGTTCGACCTGATTTATCTGAAACTGATGACTTGGCCTCTCTGGAAAAAGTGGAGCAGAGATAATTGAAATGTAACCAGTCTGTATTCATGCCTGTTCCAGTATGTATTTCTTCATCCATCATTTCTTCACAGAGACAGAGAGAGATGATAAAGAGGGACAACAGAGACAAATAAAAGAGAGTGTAGGTGGAAATGAAACTCGATTTGAAGCAAACAGAGAGCCAAAAACAATGTTCGCTTTCTTCTTGAGTGCAAGATGTTTGCGGCATAAGAGACTACCCGGAGAATTGAACACTGCCAAGGCCCATTTGGTAAAGACTCCATTTGAGAAATGGACTTTAATGTGTTTGATGCTCAGGTGGATGCGTTGACTCATAATCCACTCCCTGTACATTTCTGTGCCGTCCTGAACGCGATCGTTCCCTCAGCCTCTCTTCTGTCTTTCGCACATCATTTCTTTCATTGACTGCCTCCCGGCTTCTCCTCACAGCTGCACATGCAGAGACACGCACACACTGTAGATAACCCATTGATCTGTTTTTACTGAGATTGAAGGTGGTTGCTCTGTGTCTCCATAATCTTCTCCACCTCCATCACTCCTCCTACCCTGCCTTCCGTCCCATCAATCAGTTTTCAGTGCTCTCCTTGTTCTCCATTACTTGCTTGATTAGCTACAGCAGGGCCGCTGTATACTGAACAGAGCAGATCAGAGTACAAGGTGTATGTGTGTGTATACCTATAGGTAGAAATGACATACTATTTTAGAGAAAAGCTACAGAAACAGTTGGAAGTGTATACAGACAGTGGATATGTAACGGTTTAAGCCTTACAGATGACACAAACAATAGATTCCTCATTTCTGCTTAGATCCTGCCTCACACAGCAAAACAGCAATTTTACACCAGGGCAGGTACAGGCTTGTCATATTACTCCCAATGCTCAGATTTATTATTTTTTTATATTTTTATTTCTACCTTTAACTTGTTTATAGTTGATATTGCAGTCATGAGCTGAAAAAGCACTTTGGTCTTTTAAAAATAACATGTCGAATATTTCACTGAAAACCTTTGTAGTGGGAAGAAACTATGTTTTGCCATATGTCGGATTATACTTTACATTTCTGTCTTGGTTCTTTGTTAGAGATAGGAGTACATTGAAAGGAGTCAGTTGAATTTGTTTGGACATCTAGCTCTTAATCACCTCCGAGGTGAGGTGTTTCGGGCAGGTCCTCCAGGGAGGAAGACCCTGATGCACATGCGGGACAAACTAAAGAGTTTACATTTCTCCAGCTGGAGTTCTGGAGAAAACCACCCTTGTTTTTCTCCAGAAGAGCTGACGGAGGTGATCATTAAGAGGGGGCTTGGGCATCTTTGCTTAGACTGCTGCCCCCGCAACCCAGATGAGCTTTAGAAGATGGATGGATGGATGGATGGATGGATGGATGGATGGATGGATGGATGGATGGATGGATTAAAGAAATTAATTCCAATTTTTTTTGTTCAAATGGTGAGACATTCTCATTTATAATTAAAAGTTTCATAGCTTATAAGTGCAGCAGTGTCAATACACAATCCAATGGTAAATGCATTCCGCTCATACAACCTGGTATTTTTGTACCATTATAAGTGCTGTGTGCATTTGGTTCTAAGCATACAACCTATATGTTGCTGAGACTATTTTGTAATTTATTATGTTCGTGCCCTAAACCAGTAGTGACTTTATAACACATTTTGTCATGATTCTGAATCTTTAAGCCACACTTTTCAACTCTTTGGAAGGATCTGCTGCTATTCACTTTTTTGAGATTTTTAGTAAATGCAGTGAAAAAGAATAATTTTATATAGAGGCAACGCTTCCAGTAAATATTCCATTCTGGGACTGACTTTATATTCTCCTATAAAGCTGTTAAAGCCAAGCATTTTTTTGATCTTCAAAAATTTCCTCCTCAGGCTATTCTCAGCGGCAAATCTTTCTCACTCCATTTATAAGCCTGATGCACCTGAAATGAATCTGCATATTCTTCAAAATATATTTCAGGAAAAACATGCAGAGACTAATTTCGCTTTCTGTTTAGCCTCAAAGCCATTAAAGGTCAGAAGCATTAAGGTTGAATGACCAGTGGTTCAGCTGTGCCACCATAACAACAAAACTAAATGTTGGAGATATTTATCATATTTGTTTTTCTTTAGTAGTAAGTAAGCAGAAGTGAAGAAAGACTGACAAGTTGGAGAAATGCTCCAAATGAAGTAGCAAAACCAAATCATATAAACTTTTATTTATTCATGACATCCATCATGTTCAGTGGCATTTCCCCTCATTCTTCAATCTTGCTCTGTCTTTGGGGAACTTCTTAATTGATCATGTTGCACTCTCAGCATTGCAATTTCTATACTTTTCTTCAGCCTGCGCGAGAGTAAGACCTGAAAAGAGTTTCTAATGGATTTTTATAGCAGAAATCATTGTGTGGCCAAAGCCAACCATTATGTCCCATTGGGAGATGTGTTCATTAAGGCTCCCATTGATCCAGGCTGTTTTTTTCCTTCGGTGCTGTAGAAAAGTCTTTTGTTTAAAACCAGGCAGCGCTGCCATTAATCGCCCAGAGGCATGAGATGCTTAACCAGCAGTCAACTTTTACTCGGGGTGATTTTTTGATTCCCTGCAGTCTTTTTGCTCTGTTTTTCAGTCTGCGTTACTCTGTTTTGCACTCCTACACCAACTCCTTCTGGATATTTTTCTTGTTTCGCCACCTCTCTCCTTGTTCTTTTAACTTGGTTTCTTCTTCGTTTCAGTTCTTTGTTACACCCACTCACATTATAGTACACCTTGTTCTTCTCTTCTCCTCTCTTCTCTTGTCTTCTCTTCTCTTTGTTTTTGATGTTCTTTTTCATCACTGGATGTCTATTTTTAAACTATTGATCTTGCAGCTCTTACAGAGGCTTAAAAAAAATCAAACGACGGACAGTTCACTTTTTAACCTTGCCTCCTTTTCATGTCTCTCCAGTCATCCAGCTCATCCCAGGAGCGTCTGCACCAGCTGCCCTTCCAGCCAACCATGGATGAGCTGCACTTCCTGTCCAAGCACTTTGGCAGCACAGAGAGCATCACAGACGACGACGGCGGGCGCCGCTCGCCGCACGTCCGTCCTCGCTCCCGAAGCCTCAGGTGAGAGCGTGACAGGTAATGGGCAAAAGACTGTTTAAGTAAAGGATCCCATCCCTCCTGTGTGACACTGGAGAATAAAGATGTCAACATCAAAGCTTTATTTGTAAATGTTTGAGTATTCTGTGTAAGACATAACAAAACTAGCCAAAATTCAACATGGCAAGCTGTTATCAAAGGACATTTAGCAGCCATTAAAGATGATAAAAGCGATTTTTATTCAGTTACTGTGCAGGACCAACTTCTTTCTGTTATTAAGAGGTGTGGAGTGCTCTCAGTCATTAATTCAGATGAGTCGCCTTTTGTGAATGTGCCAGTGCTTTATTTGGTGCAGCTCGCATTTACAAAGAGGGGACATTAGGTTTGTTAGGCCTTTTCATCAAACACATCATGCTCTGTTTTGAAGATGTGTCTACCTTGATAAACAGTACTTAAGTCCTTGCTGTACCGGCACCAATGCAACACTGTAAAATGTCCCTTTATCATGGTATAGCGATAGGTTTGCAGTAGTACGCAGGACACAGTCGACAGAGGTGGAAAGTAACAAAGTACAAATATGTTACTTGAGTTTTCAGGTACCTGCACTTTACATGACTAGTTATTCTTCTGACATGTTTCTTTACTTTTCGTAACAGTATCTACTTTACTGTTACCACTCTAGGCTCTAGTTTTAACACATTTTAGGAGGATATTTTGCCTTTCACACATTAAACCCATTTGAACCTAAATAGAGGGAACATGAAATACAATCCTGTTGGTGGATCCAGCATCAGTGCTTATTGCTTCTGACTGGCGTAAAAGACGCAGAGATGAGATGCAGGGAAGAGAGCAAAGACGGACCTGTGACAGAAAAAAGTACCATTAGCAGCTTCATGACACACAACAAACAAAAACAAAGATATTGATCAGTTAGCTTTTCACAAAACTAGCGGATAGGAATACCCCTCGAAGAGTTACTTTGTACTTTTTTTGTCGTTAAGCTGCCGGGGCGGCGAGCCACGTGGACACCTACGTTTGTGAATGCGATAACTCAAGAAAGAGGCAACGTAGGAGCTTCAAACTGATACCATAGGTGTGTCTAATAGGAGGCTGAGGGGTGGCACTAGTTTTCACTTTGACCTAAAAGAAATTAAATTAATATTTCTACCTAAATCTTTCAGAATGCAAGTACTAGCTGTACTTCTACTTAAGTGAATAATCTGTCTACTGTTTCCACCAGTGCAACAAAAAATAACCAGTAATTATCTCTAAGATGTCAGCTGTCATGGGCAGTTTGCTAAGAACGTACATAAACAGTTTAAACTGGTCCCTAAGTATAATAAGCAGTTTAGAATAATAAACTAACAGTTAAGGATAAATGGTTGAGGACGTTTTTATATTTTCCTCTGAAAAGCAGTGAAGTAGAAGTACAAGTGCCTCAAACTGTAGCACACCATTGATGTCTCTGTACTTAGGGTTAGGGTATTTTCCACCACTGTTATTATATCAGTAGCGAGTCCAGCCTCCAGTGTGTTGAGTATCTCCAGGGTGCAGCAGCTTCTTTAATAGCTGAAGCCTCTGGTGTACACTCCCTGCAACCACACCTATTATAGCCTCCCCTCTGGATGCAACATGTCCTAACTACATCCGACACATCACTACTCATCAGTATTCAGTTTTCATATTAAGCTCCTCAGCAGTTCCTGGCCTTGATAAAATCAGCTCGCAGACTTTCCTTATTGTGTATATGTTAAATTATAATGTGTTTTCCCATAAAGGACTTTTTATCAGTTCCTTTTTCTTTACAGATGTGTAGATCAGCTCAGTTCCTGAGAAATAAAATCAACAAAGTAGACTTTTGCTGCCATATGTTGGTTTTGCTTACATCTTGTGAAAGCATATGCTGAACTTTCATGTTTACATGCTTGTGACATCTTTGCCACGGTCAGGATGGAGGAGATGTAGGAAGGGACTGCGTCCATAATAGAAACGTGGCGTACCGAATTTCTGATCAGTTTATTAGTGTTATATACCAACAGGACAGACATGAGGGAGTGCGGTGAATATTTTCTCCGTTCAGGTGAAAAATACAGAATTGCTTCTCTTTGGGCTGCCTCCTCTCACTCTGTTCTGCTCAGTCGGTGCTGTATATTACACTCCTGCTCTCTCTGTTTGTCTGTTTTCAGCCCGGGGCGCTCACCATCCTGCTATGACAATGAAATAGTGATGATGAACCATGTCTACAAGGAGCGCTTCCCCAAGGTCAGGCTCGCACAACAAATACACAAGTGTAAACTGTACCTCCACGCACACCTCAAAATACACACACGCGCGCGCGCACACATACACAATATGCATACTGGCAACAGACATCTCTCAGCTACATTTAAAATATTTGTTATATTTCTTTTATCCAAAGTGAGTCACTATTTGCAAGAATCTGTTGTTTTAAGTAAGCAGCTGATGATCTAAAAGTGCTGGAGGGGCTGAACATGTAAACAAAACAAGAAGTAAAACAAAAAAAGCAGCAAAGCAGCTCCCTGGAATTTCAGACAATGATAAAAGCTGCACTTATTTACTGTGATGATGTTAAAATAATTCAAAGGTAAAATGTTAAGTTCTATTTCCAGAGGGAACAAATAACTGAGTTAAGGTCCTGATGTTGCTTTAAACAGATTTTGAGTATGAATATATAGAAATTATAGGCAGGGAGATGAATGGACACTGCAAGCTTTCTCCCTGAGCACACTTTGGTGACATGATGAAGCTTGCCATCCCTCTTTTGCACTCCTGATGGACTGCAGAGACCAAAACATTGATGGCATATACACCAATTAAACTACTTGCTGCTACACCAACCAGCAGACCAGTGACTACTGACCAGGACCAGTTTGAGGTTCATGGCTGTGTTTAAAAATGCTTCAAAATGAATGACACACACCCTATTTTAAACCATTTCAAAACTAGAATTTAACATGTAATTATTTCAAAGTGTAATGCGCACTCTGTGCCCATTTCTACTCATTTTCAGTTAGTACTGGATTCCACTTTCAGGGTTTTCTGCTGCCACAGATTCCCTAATGCACACTTCTCTTACAACAAGCAGGTATCTGTGTGCTTGGTACTTTAAACAATGCTCACCACTCTTAATTTATTACATGGTTCATGGTAAGCTGTTAAAAGGTCATCCATGTCTAAAGTCCTTTAGCAGATCATAATTAAAAATTAGATGTGTTTTAATGACTCTGAGACGTGTAAACATGACTCGGTGTCTCAGGGAGCCAATCATTTTGATGAACAGTGAAGTGTGTGCAAGGAAATCTTTCACATTGCAGGTGTCCTCAAACACCTGCCTACACACACACACACACACACACACACACACACACACAAACAAATCATAATCCTGCTCATTCACAGTGATGCATTG